TGATTCTGTGTACTTGGCTTTGGTCTATGGTGTTTCCAGGGCCTCTGCAACCTTTCAAAACATGGCCTCGTTTAATCTAATCGATGGCGGGGGTAGAGTCACACGCAGATCAGCAGAACCAGAGCACTCGCTCCAACCGCAGCAAAACACAGGCGGCCATACTGTTGTGTCTCCACCGCTTCCGAAGTTTCCAGCTGACTATCTGGCCCTGACTCTTTGAGCTGCCTGATTTTAGCTTAGGAAGCATTTCTGGAGTCTTTCATGATGGAGAGATTCACTTAGCACATTTTATAATTAACCACTCCATGGCAGAACTTCAGCCTGTTTGCAAACTATGGATTTCATGAGTCTAAATAAAATCAGATGGCTCCCCTAGCACATTAGAGGCTGGCCCAACATCAAGAAAATTATTATGTTGGAGAACCATGTGTGTGGCAGGTGAAATCGTTATTCCAAGCCCATAATAAAAGTTTGACAAGTTAAAAACATAAACTCCAAATGTAAACTTACATTCACTTGAAACTTGCTACAGCTCACATTTGGATTGTAAAACAGCTATAGTTGCATTCTTACCTCCACCCATAGTCCAGGGATGGGAACCATGCTCTTGATAGTTTAAAAAACTTTCTCAAAGAAAGTTTTACTTTACTTGATGTTGACCTGTCCATATGATAGCAAGAAGGCAGGCAGTAAGGCAATTCATTACTGCCTAGGCAGTGTCTAGATGCATCAAAATCTATTTTCCAGAAAGCTGTATTGACACCAGTGGACTGTGTCTCCAAAATCTAGCTTTCTGTTAGGAAGGAATAGGAAAGCAGGAAAAGAGAAGTATTCCCATTCACATGTGGTACAAGAAGCATCACTTCTCAGAACTGTTCATTTAAGTCACTTCATTATGACTTTAACATCATGGACAGAACAAGTACAAGATAAAGACTTAAGGCTTGCCTCTGTCTTACATGATAATTCTCAATGTAGGGACATGTTTCAATGGACTAAGTGAAAGAGCAAGTCAAAGTGAGTAAAAGAACAAAAAAAACTTTGGGGGACTTTCCTGGTGACCCAGTGGTTAAAGAATCAACGTTATAATGCAAGGGATGCAGGTTGGATCCCTTGTCAGGGAACTATGACCCCACATGTCTGCAGAGCTATTGAGCCTGCACATTTCACAGCCTGTGGACCCTGATGAAAGATCCTGCATGAAGAAACCAAGACCCAATAAGTAAATATATTATTAAAAAGGGAACGAAAAGCTTTATATTCAACTCTCAAGACTGTGTGTTTTAAACCCCTATGGTTTAGAAAGAGGAAGTAGTGACTAGAGCATGCCATGAGAAACTAAACCCATTAATAAAAGTGAACTTACATGCAGAGTACATCATGAGAAATGCTGGGCTGGTGGAAGCACAAGCTGGAATCAAGACTGCTGGGAGAATATCAATAACCCCAGATATGCTGATGACACCACCTTTATGGCAGAAAGGAAAGAGGAACTAAAAAACCTCTTGAAGAAAGTGAAAGAGGAGACTGAAAAAGTTGGCTTAAAACTCAACAGTCAAAAAATGAAGATCATGGCATTCAGTCCCATCACTTCATGGCAAATAGATGGGGAAACAGTGGAAATTTTGACAGATTTTATTTTCTTGGGCTCCAAAATCACTGCAGATGGTGACTGTAGCCATGAAATTAAAAGACGCTTACTCCTTGGAAGAAAAGCTATGACCAACCTAGACAGCATATTAAAAAGCAGAGACGTTACTTTGCCAACAAAGGTCTGTGTAGTCAAAGTTATGGTTTTTCCAGTAGTCATGAATGGATGTGAGAGTTGGACCATAAAGAAAGCTAAGTGCTGAAGAACTGATGCTTTTGAACTTTGGGGCTGGAGAAGACTCTTGAGAGTCCCTTGGACTGCAAGGAGATCAAGTCAGTCAAATCTAAAGGAAATCAGTCCTGAATATTCATTGGAAGGACTGATGCTGAAACTGAAGCTCCAATACTTTGGCCACCTGATGAGAAGAACTAATTGACTCATTGGAAAAGACCCTGATGCTGGGCAAGACTGAAGGCAGGAAGAGAAGGTGATGACAGAGGATGAGATGGTTGGATGGCATCACCAACTTGATGGACATCAATTTGAGCAAGTTCTGGGAGTTGGTGATGGATAGGGAAGCCTGGCATGCTGCAGTCCATGGGGTCGCAAAGAGTTGGACATAACTGAGCAACTGAACTGAACTGATTTTTGATTATACCTTTCATAGCTGATAGACGAAATAAAGTAGAAAAATCATGGGAACAGCCTGGAAATTTTCTCCACAGCTTATGTTTTCAGCACAGAAACGTATTTACCATACACATGAAGCAAACTGCTCATTTTGGAATAGACTCAAGCGAATTCAAAACACTCTGGCAAAACTGAGGTTTCACAGCAGCACTTTATCACCATATGTAGCCTGGACATAACATCCAGATCTAAAAAGTAGTAAATGTCTAATAAAAAGGGAGGAAATTACATAGAAGAACAGAGTGGAATTAGAATCCAAAGCATAGTAAACTCAGGCCGATAGCTACAAGCAACAATCTAAAAATAAAGCGCTGGAAACAGAACAGGGAACTCCGTGACCCAAGAGCACACTGCACATTACAGAGGCAATGCTCTGTAATGGTACACAGATGATTAGGAAATATTTTGTAAGGTTATCTTTGCTACAATTTTTAAGGCTCATACTTTATGACACGTGTTCACAATATTTAGGTGAAAATTGAAATTAAAGAATAATAAAGCAATTAGAAAACAAAATGAATGAAAGCCAGATTCCTTTATGAAAGGGAAAGTAAACCCATACCCTCCTATCCCCAGACCTTACATTCCTCAGATTAGGTCATATGTGACACATAAAGAGAAATGAAGTAGGCACTGTTTTATTGGAGAATAAATTACAGAGAATTCTAAAGAAGTACATAGAAATGATCCAATCAAGAAATTAAAAGGAACATGGAGTGTAGTCAGACATCAAAGATTTACGCCTGACTTTTTTGCAGAGAAACCCACATTTTTCCCACATTATTCTCTTGTAGAATCATGTCCACTTAAGAAAAACTTATTGTACATAGATAGTTTTAATAAAACATTTGTTCTCATTAGCATCTTGTGTCCTACCTCTCTGCTGTATCTGCCTGTATAATCTCTTGGTTTAGGAACTCAGGAGGACAGAGAAGGGTGGTGCTAGAAGGTTCTTCATTCCAATTCAGTTGCTTTGAGGGTCCATGAAGCCTCAAAGAAGCTCCATTTACTGCCACTGTGGTTTCCTTACGAAGAAACCTACCAGATGCTGTCAATGTGTGAAAATAGATCATTGCTGCTGCTGCTGCTGCTAAGTCGCTTCAGTTGTGTCTGACTCTGTGCGACCCCATAGACGGCAGCCCACCAGGCTCCCCCGTCCCTGGGATTCTCCACGCAAGAACACTGGAGTGGGTTGCCATTTCCTTCTCCAATGCATGAAAGTGAGAAGTGAAAGTGAAGTTGCTCAGTCGTGTCCGACTCTTAGTGACCCCAGGGACTGTAGCCCACCAGGCTCCTCCATCCATGGGATTTTCCAGGCAAGAGTACTGGAGTGGGTGCCATTACCTTGTCCTATCTTGAAGCTAAAGAGGCTCAATTAACAAAGTGTTATATTGAATTATTATCAGTGATGCTATTGGACAGTTATTTACATTAAAATACCATGTTTGTGCTTTTTTTTTTTTTGCTTAGGTGGTAAGAAGAGCGTCAGTTAAGAAAACTAAGATCATGATTAATACATATTAATTGGAACTTAAGTACTGATTTCTATTTTACTGCTCTAATATACTGACTTATGCAACTGTATTTTGATGTGAAATTAAGTCCCCAAAGAAAACATAGCAGCCAAAAATCAACATATTGTGAAATGTTCTTTGCCTACTAAAGTGGAAGAAAAGTTTTAATTTCTATTTTAGAATGACTGTGTTAGCTCAAGAAAATATATGTTTAATAAAATGCAGCAAAAGTGCAATAATTATCAAACCATAGTTTGCCCCCCAAAATTTAATTCTAAAAGGTGATACATTAAAAAGTAAATGAATTAGTTAATTAGAAAGCAAAACAGAAGTGTATATGAATATAAATAACAGCTGGCATCTATGGTTTACCCAACTTGGTTCCTGAAATAATTCAATGAAATAGGCACAATTATTTCTATATTTCAGATATGAAAACTGAAGCTTAGAGAGTTTAAATCATCAGACCAACAGGACACAGGCAGAACATACTTTAGCAAGAACTGAGCCCAGATGTATCTAATTCTAAAACCTAATCCTAAATACTAAATTAACTTCTCATATGTCTAGTAGCCTCGGTCAGTGATTATGAAACACATATTCCTAATTGCTGGGATATTTGTCATATTTAGCCTTAAATTTCTAGTTTCAGGATTGAAATGAGTTTCTTAATGTCACCAGGTAAGGAATACTTTACAATCAACCCTGGTGACTGTTAGGTTTTGTTTCATTTGCTTTGCTCTTAAAAACAAGACTGGAATGGTGACCATAAGCTATTGATTACCTTTGCCAGGAATCGATGTATCACTGACAGTGGAATAAAACCTGATGAATTTCTGTGTAAATTGATTCACCCTGGATGAGTCCACAGAGTAATTTCTAAGACAAACATCTGCATTCCATTGTCAGCTGTGACAGATTTTATCTCATCAGGTCCTGGGTGGACGCTTTACAAGACTGGCAGTAGTAACTTTCTCTTAAACTTTTAAATGGCACCAACAGAACGGAAGTTTCTACCACGTGTGCCTAACTTCGGTTTCCGTCCCTCTTAGGAGTTAACCCTAAAAGTGCAAATATAAACAAATGTAATCCCCAAGGGTTATCCGAACCAGGAGAAATCTGGAATTAATTGCCAAGTATGCTGGTCCCTGTTGCAGCTGTACAAGTGTTTGATTTGGCCAGGGAAGAGAAAAGACGCTGCATACCAATTTCGTGAGCCACGGTGAAGGCGGCGTGGAGGCCATCGTCTTCAATCACCGCGCAGCTGCGCTCGGGAGAACATATGGTCCCAACGTCTGCCATTCCCAGGGTGTCGCATGAATGATGCCCACATAAATCCTGCCCCAGAGAAAGAAAGAAATCATTAAAGTCAATTTACATCCAGAAGGAGCCACCTTGTAGAACCACTTGCTCACTCCAAATGTCAACACTGGGATTTGTTTATGATATTACCTGCTCAGCTCTGGAAATGGTCCAAAGACAAACTAACGGCATTAACTCTGCTAAGCTTCTCCGGGCCCCAGAAGCACAGAAGGATGATGGGACTCAATTACATTTTAAAAGATGTCCAGGATTGTGGCTTGTCCGTTACAAAAGTAGCCACGGTCTTAACAAAGCTGTATCATAAACTGTAGGCACGAATGTTATGGATCATTTTCAAGTAGGTTCATACTTAAGAAAGTCTTACTATTCTGACCTAAATTTTCATGTTAAAAGTATCAGAAGTCAAATGTAATAATTTATTTTCCATCACAGGGGCAAAACTGCAATTCTGCCACCTGTTTATGGCATAATATAAATTTCTCAGTCATTTGGATAGAAAATTAAATTTTAATGTATGAGGGTAATTCCTCAAAAGATCATTTCAGTTTCCAAATCGAGTTGTAATTTCATAGGTTGTTTCTTCAGAAATGTATACAGTCTTTCCCATAGTGTTTAATGTAGTGTTTCTCGACCTGATCAATCCTCAGAAAATATAGGTAACATATTGTGGATGACTCTTTGTGGTCCCATGGACTGTAGCCCACCAGGCTCCCCTGTCTATGGGATTTTCCACACAAGAATACTGGAGTGGGTTACCATTTCCTCCTCCAGGGGATCTTCCCAACCCAGGGATTGAACCCAACTCTTTTGAGTCTCCTGAATTGGCAGGCAGAATTTTACCACTAGTGTCACCTGGGAAGCCCCTGTAATATATTGTATTTATATAAATGAGTGTATATATTTGTCTGGTGAGAAGTTGTATAGCTCATAAGAGTTTTTCAAAGGAGAACACGATCACACCTCACTAATGGTTGTGAAAGTCGCTCAGTCGTGTTCAACTCTTTGCAACCCCATGAACTGTCTCCAGGCCAGAATACTGGAGTGGGTAGCCCTTCCCTTCTCCAGAGGGTCTTCCCAACCCAGGTCTCCCACATTGCAGGAGGATTCTTTACCAGCTGAGCCACAAGCGAAGCCTGTTACTAATGGTTAAGATGATCAAATTAGATGAAAGAGACATCAACAAGACAATTTTAAATTATGAAGCATAAAGAGAAAAATAGAAGCCAAAATTTATGATATAGATTTGTAATGACAAACTTTCCACTAAATGTTATTTGAATATTAATGGATATTAGCTTTTCTTGTATTTGACTCCTGTTTTCAATGAAAATGAATTGAAAGTTTGTATATTTCTATGAAAAAAGCCATAAGTGAATAATGGCAGAAGAGTTTTTTAAAATATTAATTACTATGAAAGATGACTGTTTACTAATTGAAATTGTTCTCTCTATTGTAGCTATTAGCTTTGTGTCGCCAACTACCACAATGTCTGACGTTTAACAGGAATTCAAAAAATATTTGCTTAAATGAAGGTGAATTCTGACATATAGTCAGATGCAATGTAGACCTCACACACCTTTATTTTTTGTTAATTTTTTTTGACAACATAAGCTAATATTTATATTCTACTAGGACAAAGAGAAAAGATGTTTATCTTATGTGGATTTTTGCCTTACTGAACATTGTCACACATGTTTAATATTCTGTATGCTACAAGACCGCAATAGACTCCAGGAAGCCAACAGGAGATGTTACTACTACGTAACCAATGCCGCCTAGTCAATGTCTACATACGCTTCTAACTCTTCTCTATTTTGCTGCATGGAAGTCCAGCCAAGGTGAATAATATTTAAAAGATACGCCCTACAATCTCCCCAGTACTTTTTCAGATCCTTATTGTGTTCCATATATTATGGGATCCCAGCTGTGATGAACTGTACTGTGGTCGCCATGTCATTATAACTTCAGACAGTGGAAATCTCAGCCAAGTAGCTTTGGTAAATCAAGTCACCAAACCAACAATAGTCTCCCAAAGTCTCCTGGGTATCCTCATATGCCATCCCGTGGGATGTCAGATTACAGCTGTTGAGAACAAATTAGTAGTTTTTAAAATTGAAATTAGAACACACGCTTGCATAACAATCGGTCTTTGAGATAATTGTATAGTAGAATGCATGTTTTAATCCATTTTTTCCCTCCAGTCATTTTAGTAGCTTTAAGACCAAAGACCCAGGTCACGGTTTAAGTGAATTGCTGGACACTGTAGGTTATTTCTGCACATGCAAATTTTTTTTTTTTTTTAAACCAGGATTTATGTTTACCTTCACAGTTTGGGGTTATTATCTTCAAATGATAAAATCTAAGAAATGTTTCCCCTTCTTACATTTTACTTCATTAATAAGCTTGGATGAAGAGTCACAGCTAATGGAAATGACCTCTCGTTCTACACAGAGTGTAATGTGGATTCTTCATCTCTCTCTGTTTACTGATAATCAATTGCTCATTAGAGCCCATCAACCCTCCTTGTCATCCTTGAATTGCATTAAATGCATTTGGCCCTCTGCCATGGAAATTTGCACATGTGACAAAATTATGAACAAAAGCAGTTTTTTTTTAAAATCACTTTGATTAAACCCCTTGACTGCATAGCCACAGTCTTTATTTTTGTAACTATAATTATGTGAACTGGCAACCTTTCCATTTTACTCACACAGTTTCAAATCATGGCAGCCCACTTACGGTGTCTTCCTCAAGACTGACAGTGAATGCCTGTGCTTCTTTGTGATCCAATGTTCATTCCAATCCATTAAAACTGAACTTGTGCATCAAATTATTAAGAATATAACACATCAAACTCGTCTCTATTTTCTGATAATGGTTTATAACAACATGTACAGGTGCAAAGCTTATTGATGTTTATAGGTGTTTTTGTTTTTTTAATTCAGAGCAGGATTAAGTATCCTAGTGAGGCAATAGCATATCTACCTATCTATCTGTCTGTCCATCCACTCATCTATCTTCCAAAACTGGAGGTAGGAGATACTAAAGGAATGAAAATCACAAAAGGTATCCACATAAGAGTCAAATGAATTAAGAGTGCTGACAAGGATTTTTCTGCTTAGTGTAAATCTGAAGGTAAGTTATATCTGTCATGTTAAAGATGGTTCTTTATAGGCAGGATTGATTTTATGATATTTGTATGTGTAGACAATGACGCAATGGAAAATTTAATACAATGTAAGGGTTTCAGGAGCATGCAGAGATTTAACCAGTGGGCTCTGGGGTGTTCCTGGCTGGGGGAGGGGTCTGGGACAGTGTACCTAAAATAGAGCTGAAATGGTCAGCAAGACCAGGGAAAGCATGACAGAGAGGTCACTGACATGGTGACTAGGGGTGGCCATTTACAATATCATGAATATGGCAGTATCTGTGATTCATCATGGAGTTTAGAAGGACTCACAGTGTCCCAGACCTATTCTTGCGGATGGAGCGGGGAGCAGGGAGCCAGCAAAGGATGCTACCTTGAAATGCAGGTGTCTAGAAGCTAATACAACTTGGAAAAGCAAAGTGATTGGCATTGGGTGGGGAAGGAACTAAGCAGACATGAATGTGCAAACTGGAAGTAATAGCAAGAGATGCAGGGGAGACTGGTCTCTCAGTCAGCACAAACACGCTGAGGGAAGGAAGGAACACAGAGGCTGATAAGAGCAGATTTGATCACATCTGCAGAACAGCAGCCAGAATGAAGGCAGAGTGCTTTGGAAGGGGAAATCTGGAGTTAACTAACACTTCAGTTCAGTTCAGTTCAGTCGCTCTGTCGTGTCCAACTCTTTGTGACCCCATGGACTGCAGCATACCAGGCCTCCCTGTCCATCACCAACTCCCAGAGTTTACGCAAACTCATGTCCATCAAGTCAGTGATGCCATCCAACCATCTCACCCTCTGTCACCCTCTTCTCCTCCCACCTCCAATCTTTCCCAGCATCAGGGTTTTTCCAGATGAGTCAGCTCTTCGCATCAGGTGGCCAAAGTATTGACGTTTCAGCTTCAGCATCAGTCCTTCCAATGAATATTCAGGACTGATTTCCCTTAGGATAGACTGGTTGGATCTCCTTGCTGTCCAAGGGACTCTCAAGAGTCTCCTCCAACACCACAGTTCAAAAGCATCAATTCTTCAGCACTCAGCTTTCCTTATAGTCCAACTCTCACATCCATACACGGCTACTGGAAAGACAGGCAGAGTAATGTCTCTGCTTTGTAATGCACTATCTGGGTTTCTCATGGCTTCTCAGCTAGATCCCTACCTACTGTTGATCAGCTGGTCATTGCTGTTAAGGTGCTCGACAGTTGTGGAGAAGTGATGCTCAGCCTAGATTCTCCCAGTGTTCATAACAGTGTTCGTGTGGTACATACTATGGCCATCAGTATAACTCAGATATACACTTATGCATCATAATTCATATTTGTCCTGTGGAATCTGATTCTTTTCTTTAAGATTTTTTTTTATGTGGAGCATTTTTAAAGTCTTTATTGAGTTTGTTATAATACTGCTTCTGTTGTATGTTTTGGTATTTCGGCCTCTACGAATGTGGGATCTCAGTTTCCTGGCCAGGGATTGAACCAACACCCTCTGCCTTGGAAGGTGAAGTCTTAACCACTAGATTGCCAGGGAAGTTCCCTGGATCTGATTCTTGAGGTGCCATTTCCCTCTCTGGCTACCTAAATGGCATCCCCCAATAACAGAGGGTCTTATGTGGACCTCAGCGGAGACTACATTATTTGGGTCTGTTAAGCCGAACAAGACAATGTCCCATGTTATGCAATCTCCATCTGGGCTCCTGGATAGAGCTAGGTGACAGAAAACACAGAGAGCCCTGCTGGATGAGGGACCAAGGGACCTGGGTACACTCACTCCTAAAACAGTTACTGTGTGTTCACAATCTGCCAGACACTGTACTAAGTGCTGGCAGGATAGTGAATAAATAAAATATGGTCTGATCTCAAAGGTTAAGAAA